CCATGAGATGTATATAATCGCTTTTGAATATGAGCATTACCTTTCGAAATGGTAGACAAAGATAAATGATCATTAGGAACAGCCAAATTATTGGGATCTAAATTACAGGATTTACTACTACTTGAAGCAATATGAAAAAAGGCTTTGCATACTGACTGAATGTGTCCTATCTTACCACATTTAGAACATTTAGCATTACGAAATGCACATGAATTACGAGAATGAAGTTTTCCACATGATAAACATTTGCCAAACTTGGTCTTACCTTTGTGATTTCCTTTGCAATTCCTTGTTGAACCACCTTTCATATTTACACGGGAATATGAATCACTGTTAAAAGAACGCAATTCTGATTGACCCTGAGATTGTATTTCATCATGACGACTAAGCAAAGTATTAGAAATCTTCATCGACTGGATATCAGGTTCATTCACTGCCTCGTAGTTAGTACACGTAGTTCTAGCATCTTAAAAGGAACAGTTCGGCATTCTTAACAGTTCTCTTTCCAAACCCGGCATGTTAATTCCTGCGATTAAACGGTCTCTCAATTGCACATGAAGTTGATCACCGAAATGACATTTGGCAGCTTATTTCTGCAATTCAAGAATGAATTCCTTAACCTTTTGGTCATTTTCAAGAATCATCTTATGAAATTTCGCCCTTTCACGGCATTCAAAACTAGTGCACTTTACATGATTTAATAATAGCTCCTTAAGAGTTGCATAAGAAAGTGAGATAGGTTTTTCTGGATATGCCAAAGTTTTCAATAAGCTGTACGCTTCTCTTCCGATGAATGTCAGGAAATGTGCCACAATCTTATCATCTTTAACATCTTTCTTAGTCATGCACTAGATTTCAAACCTTTCCAAATAATCCTCAAATGCTTCAAAAGTTGAATGAATATCTAACTGTTCCATCGTAGGCTCCATGGCGACGCCAATATGATAATTAGAAGTATTTGAATTATAGTATGAACTGATAATCCCAGACATCACGTAAGTGAATCAAGAACTACTAGATAAGCATGAACGAATGTACTGTATTTAGAATTCGAAATCAAATATTCAACAAGTAGAAAGGAGACATTAGTTCATTCAAACACCACAGAATCATTAGAAAAATCAGCATCTATCAAAACTCCACTACTTAGAAGTTCTTCAGTTTATCCTGATTCACTTTGTTCAATGTGTTCAGTATTTTGCACAAATCATTTTGACATAGCTCATTTATTCTATTTTGATGATTGTGGAAAATTCAAGGCCTTAATTATTTTGTTTACACAATAATATGACTTGTTTGATTCGTTTAATCTGCGATGTGCGCTACTTATATTGATATAAGTAGTAAATGATGCAAGTTAGAAACGTAATATCTGTCAGCAGAAGATGGAGGAAGATCAAGAAAAGAAGAGTGGGAACACAATGTAATTTGTATGAAAACGCATGGACAATGAAATATAAGACAATGAATTGATGTTTTTCAACAGGAACAGTCAAGTTGTATATGATGAATTGATATTTTTGCAAATTAACGATATACTATATATGGTTCTCAGATTTCATTGAGATGCTCTGTAATTATGCGCTCACATACATTCGATTGTACCGACTGTTGTTCTAGTTCACTACAAAACTAATGTTGAATGCTTACAGTATCTGGATCTGGATTGTTCCTCAAACATGTAATATCACAGCGAACAGTTAATCTATTGTTGTTCTAATTTTAATTTTATTCATATGATTGTATTTCATATAGTGTTGAAAACTTACAAATTTATCAAAAAATATCATCTGAAATGAATCTTCTTTGATTCTATTCAAGTACTTAGTCATGTTTATACATATTTCTATTTTAATCTTTATTTTCACTTTGAAATAATTAAAATTCTCTAATCGATAACGACGTACTTCCGCCCTGGTACGGCCAAGAGTGGAGACAGTCAGCTCTCCCTCTCGAAAAGTTTTCACATGACCATGTGTATACAACCACTGACAAGGCAGTTCTATTCACTGCCTTCTCGTGGGATTACTGTTGTTTACGAAAATGAGAGGACGAAAACCGAATGTTCGGCACATTAACCAGGTTGATGGACATGGAGATTCCACGTAAGGGAGTTGCAAAACCCTGATTCCAAACCAATGATGTACATAGCCTTCAGGATTCTAAGGAAAAACAAATTGACGTATGAACCAGTCGTTGGTGACCGGCTACCATGGAACTGCATCTCTTGAGATTGCTCCACTGCCTTATGGATCAGACCTTTAGGTTAAACGCTCTGGGTTTGGCCCTTCAATAAAACCACCTGCTTCGGTTTGGGCACCCTAACAGTATCTTAACCCTCACACAAATCACATGGTTTATGTGGCGCATGTGCATTTGGTGCCTTCTTGTACCAATGTTTATGTGTTTAAATAAATAAATAAAATGAAAGATCTAGGATATATATATATATATATATATATACTTTGGAGAATTGAAAATCATTTGAAATAGTGGAAAACAATGCATATACCATTTGTTTTCATTCAAATTTTGAATATCTTCTTCTTTAATCTTTCGACCTTCCAGGTCCTTTTATCCATCAATCTTATTGATATCATTTTAGTTTTGATTGATTTATAATTGTGTATCAGGGAATTGAGTTTAATTAGATAATCATTGAAACCTCCAAAAGACTTAGTAGCCGCTTGATCTTGATATGAGACTCGTTAATGAAATACATTCACAACTCATATTAGCAGAAGTTGAATGTTAGACATTTAGGTTTTATCGTAATCGTCATCAATGGTACCCAACGTTACTAGATACCTATGGTTACAATTTCGTATTTAAAACTTAAGGAATTCATTCTATTACTGGTCACTGGTGAAAGTATTATTATCATTATTAGAATAGAGTTTATGAACACAGTTCAGTATTGATAATAATGATTTCATCAATTTCTATTTAACATTATTATGTTCAACGTCAAAAGTTGAAATCACCACAGATGTTATTTTAACACAATTCACCAGTTTATTATATCATATATGTTGTAAAGTAGCAGAATGCCACAAAGACATATTGGTCACGTACAGTATATTCTTTCAACAAATGACCATAAAGTTCTGGGAAAAAGAGAGACAAAGGGTGAGAAAGACAATCGAACCTTGCATTAAGATACTAATTTTATTTTAAAACTGACAACTAATCATCAACGATACATACTTACACTTACACTATCATATATACATAGAAACATACCTATAATCACTAAAAGACAACATCTAAGAGATTAATTTCTAAACTGTTTGTTTGTTTATCTATTTATGAAATGAATCAAAGACAGATAGAATGAATAAAGAATATCCCTTTTGCCATAAATTCTCTTCAGGAACATGTATTTCACCTTAAACCTGATACATTTTAAGGATTATTCATACAGATATAGAATTGTAGAACTTGAAGAGAATTTAATAAAAAGAATATTTTTCATTCATGTATATCTTTTAAATATTAATAGCTGAGATCGAGAATCACTTGAAGATAGACCACCACTATGGAAAATCAAGAAGCACTGAACGGCTGTTTCGTCCTAATGTGGGACTCCTCAGCAGTGTGTGTTCATGATCATACCTCGCGAGATTCGAACCCACGACCTATCAGTCTGGCGTGAGACCGCCTAACCACTAGACCACTGAGTTGGCCGGCATCCAACGGTGTTAATATCTAACTTCAACCAATCCACGAAATTGAGTGACACATCCACTATTGTCTTCAGTGAGTTAATATATTACAATAGACCCGGTTGAACTCCTTTGGTCACTGCCTCTCACTAGAACTTCAGGAAATACTTCTTGAAACCAGTCACTAGTGAGCATATATTGATTCATATCAGAAGGGGTTTTGTGAATATTACATTACTTTCAATAGTTGAGATCATGAATCAATTAGAACTAGACCACCATGAAAAACCTGAAAGCACTGAAGTGATAGATCCTGGGTTCGAATCTCACGAGACCGGATTGTAAATTCACACTTCTAAAGAGTTCAACAATAAGGCGAAATGGTCATCCAGTGCTTCCAGATTTTCTATGATGATGATGATGATGATGATGATCTAGTTTCCATTAACTTATAATCTCAACTATTAACATTACTATTATATCCACAAAACACACATTTCTGATCTTTTCAATATAATAAGAATATTTAAATAACTAACATTAATAAATCTGTTTTATTCAATTTTGGAAAAAAAAGGGACAAGTGTATAACAAGTCACAAAGTTAATACATGACAAACTAAAATAAAAATGATTATCACATATATGAAGAATAGATGATGAAACCATTTACAAACAATTTTCGAAAGACATCCATCACAAATAATAATAATAATAATAATAACAAAATACATATTACATCTTATGAATAGAATAATAAATTGACAGATCGATAAACAGACAGACAAACAGATAGATAGACAGACAAATGGATAGATAGATAGACAGACAAACAGATAGATAGACAGACAAACAGATAGATAGACAGACAGACAAACAAATAGGTAAACAGACAAATGGATAGATAGATAGATAGATAGATAGATAGATAGACAGACAGACAGTCAGTTACAAAAACTATAACTATATGTAATGAATGACGTAATGTATGTATTTCTTTATTGAATTACTCTTAAAAATTAGGTAAGTCAATAGTTACTAATACAATTTGTAATCATGAAAATGTAATTAAGTTCTTTTAAAGAAAGACATATTTTACAACAGTTAAAATGATCTAAACTAATTTCATTATATAATTGAATATGAATATGATCATATATGTATATCATAAATTATAGACAACATTCATGATACAATATTTCAAAATAAAATAAAATGAATAGAATTAAATGACATTGATTATTTTCATGTTTCTATGGATTTCTCATATTTATTGATTGATTAATTGATTGATTGATTTATTGATTGATTGATTGATTGATTGGTTTTCTTTTTGTCAATTTATAAATTGTTTAGTTTTATGTTGTTTTTTAACTATACCTAATTTTGGTGCAATATTTATAATAGAATCAGATAAATGATCATATGGTGGTTGTTGTGTACCATGAATAACAAGTATCCATTCAGTTAATATAGCATAACCTAATGGATTATTAGAATTTGAATCTAATCCAATTGTAAGTAACCATTTACCACGAGGATTTTCACTCCACATATGTGTAGTCATAAATGGCCATTTAGTAAAACCTTTTATATTATCAAAATCTTTTGGTCGACGTTTTAATAACATTGATGTAGTATTCATTGGTGAAGTAAGAAATAATGTTATATCCCCACGACGTGTTGATTTAATTGTTATAAATGCTTGAACATGTTCCAAATAATTAACCTATTATTATAGAATAAAATAGATAAAAAGATAAGTGAAGAAAAAAAAAATTATGCTAATCTATTGGGGTTTCCCCGAGTGGGTTCAAATTCCATCCCCGTCGTCAATTGTTAGGTTTTGAAAGAGAGAGAGAGAGAGCTATCACAGGTTCACGTAGTTTGAGAACGAGATCGAGGATTCGCTGACCAAGGTCCAGTAAGCTATCTATTGACGCATTCCAGCCCCACTATCTAGAGTGAGAAGACCAAGCTTAGAATGAAAGTATATTCTGTAACAACCAGAAAACCCGTAAACTTTTTTTACAAAGACAATTTCAAAACGTATATATATACAATTATATATACATCGATGTTGTCATGGAGCTTTGAAACATTTAATCGATAGTTCGTCAATTGACTGCCATTGAAATATTTAAACATTTAATCGATAAATTCATCAATCAACTATGTGAGTGAGTGGTAACAAATGCCCACGTATACATGTGCATACAAGCTCCACAAGATAAAATTACAAACTATAAGTTGAGATGAGTAATGATGAGTGTGGTTGAGAGAGGTTTTAGTAAGATGAATGGAATGATCACAATTAAGCATTGATTCACGCATTTCTCAGTCGATCAATCAACACTCAGTGTACCACGAAGTGCATCCACCACAATCCGCATCTCACATGAAACAGTGGAGACTGCAGTCAACTGACAATGATGAATGAGCTGTGTGCATTCTGGTGAGTGACTGCAGTTGGATGGATGTAAGTGATTTTGTGCTGTGAGCTACTCATATTGACAGAAGTAGTATATGACGTTAGTCAGGAATGGAATGTCTGGGGCAGCAGAGAGACAAGAGTATCGAACAGTGAGGAGTGGAATCAGAATGCAATTTGTATGAAAATACAAGAACAATGAAGTGAGGGCCATTTTCACACAATTGATGGTCATTTTGCAAATTGAGCATTTACTATATGGTTGTTAGATTTTACTAAGTAGTTCTGTAATCTGTAATCAAGTACATTCGATTGTCACCACCCATGTTCTGTTCACTACAGTATAAGGTAACAGGTCTCGGGTTTTCGGAGGGAAATTCATTCATTTATTTGGTTAAATAGAGTTTTGGCATTATAGTTGACATCAGTTCGTGATGAAAACCCTAAATCTAATTTGTAAGATTACCCATCAAATGTAAATCATAATCCTTATTCTTCAAACGGCATTATAACCTTAATTTGGTTCTAGTTATTAGGTGGACACTCTCAAGGTCACTTTAGCGTCTCTCAGACTGACTTACTTACTTATTTATGCCTGTTACTCCTAGAGGAGGGGAATAATCCACCCATCAGCACTCTCAACCCAACACTGTCTTGGGCAATCCTTTCCAGCTCTTTCCAGTTGCTATTCATCCTTTTCATATCTGATTCTATTTCTCAAGAAAATGTGTTTTATGGCCTTCCTCTTTTCCGCTTCCCTTCAGGAGTCCAAGTTGTGGCTTGTCTAATGATGCAATTTAATAATTTCCATAATGTATGTCCTATCCATTTCCATCGTCTTTTCCTGATTTCCTCTTCAGCTGGATACTAGTTTATTCTCTACCATAGTAGGCTGTTGCTAATGGTATCCAACCAATGGATGTTGAGTATCTTTTACCTATTTAATGATACTTGTAGTAGTTCTCCAAGTTTCAGCTCTGTACAGTAGAACTGTCTTCATGTTCATATTGAAGATTCTGAATTTGATATTAGTTGACAATTGTTTTAAGTTGTCATTCATAAATTATAGTCTTACGGAATCTTTTATATGTCCACTTGGTTGAATCATGAGATAATAAGAATACACTAAAATAAGTAGTTTTATTAGTCTTTATCAAAGGAACTATGTTCCTCTTTTCATATAAAAATAATTGATCTTTGACAATGGACAGAAATTTACACTTATCGAACAGAAATTTATTTAAGTCCAAGTCAAATAAAGGATACCTGTATTAAAAGTCAATAATCGATTTGATGTTGATGTTACATACCATCGGTTAGTTTTCAAACATAAGATACTTTATGGGCAATTGAACTTAAATAAATAGAGATTTTTAAATTTGACTATGATAACTGATCATTTCGTACTTTCAATGAAACTATACAGAAATGTAAAGAGTTTGTGGAGACAATTTCTTTAATTGACATCATGAATTAACCTTAGTTAGACTATAACTGAAAGCCAGAATGCACAGAACAACTGATTTGTCCTTGCAGTTCATGACCTTGAAAATTTCAAAATCGTAGATGAAAGAAATTTTAAAAATCCTAGAGATATTTTAGAAGCACAATATTCTATATATTGAGAGAAGAAGCTCAATTGAGATGCAACACTTACCAAATTGTCATTCTCATTAATGATGTAGATGGATGGATGGATGTACGTATGGTCGTATGGATGGATGGATGTATGGGTGATTTCCCTCTTCCCCATAGATCTAATTTCCTCTCTGTCTACAATTAATTGTTGATTTTCAGTTGCCTGAACTACAAAAAACTCATTAGTTGCAAGTAGATAAAAACAATATTCAATAGTTATAACGTAACACAGTTCAATACATGCTTTACTTACCTAATTATTTATTAAAGTATTTCTGGCCAGTATAACAAACAGAGCATTGGTGACTATGCACAATTCGCAAATCCACTCAGTCCTCGAACTTCGTTTTCTTCATCCCATGTTCAAGCAAATGCAAATAGCAAATGTATCATAAAATCAACAACTACATCTACAACTGCAACAACACTGGAACATCAACAAGAACAATATCAATCAAATCAATTCAATTCAATTTAACTAAACAACATGAACTAGACTGCCTAGTTTATTGTGATGGTTTAACACTGAAAATTAACACATTACAATCACTATTCAATTGGTATAAATGAAAAACAACAGAAATATATCAAGATTGGGAGGAGATGACGATGAGGACGACCTGAGTATAAAAGCTTTCATTTATACATTGATTGGACACACTATTTGATTTATATTTAGGATGAAATCATATATATTAGGAATATTTTGATTTATAAAATTAAATCACATACTAAGCATAGTTTATGTCAATCAAATACAAGAAAATTTTATATTATATTTAATGTAATATCTATATGTGAAAAGAAAATAAGTACTACATTGAGTAATCATAACATTGAAACAAAAGGACTGGACAATCGAATAAGTCTAATAATATAAGTAAATCAATAGAATTCTGACTTTTCTTTCCATTATACCACTTACTTATGCATGTTACTGTCAATTGAGCATAGCTCACCGACCATTATTCTCCAATCCACTCTCTTCAAAGCATTTCTCCTTATTTTTATGGTGCAACTTTTTAAACCCTGCCTCTCCTACTTGGAAGGCAGCTTTGCTGCTCTTTTCAATTATTTCATCTGATGTTCAACTATTTTAAATCCAAATGAATAATCCGTATAATTGGCCAAGTTTAAGGAAAACTACATCAGTTAATTTTGTCCTATATGAATCAATAATGGTTGTTTGTCATACAAAATCAAATCAAATCATTAACGTTGAGGCTGACAAATATGATGTGTTAACTTGATTCAGTTTATAAGAGAAATAAAATTGTAGGATAAATGATCATAATAAATATGCTCAACATGATGTGAGAGAGAGAGAGAAAATAATCGATGAAAAATCAGAAATTACGTAATATATAGTATAATATGAATTAAGTTAGATAGGGGTGGATACTGAATAAATCCCTCAAAAAGTTATCAAGTGTAATGATAATAATAATAATAATAATAATAATACCAATCATAAAGATGATGATAATAATAATAGTAAACCTAATAATAGTAATAATAATAAGTTTAAGACATAAAATGAATATTAATCAAATTACGTCACCATATTATAAGATCGATTATTAACTAGTTGGCCCAAAAGTTGGCTAGACTAAAAGGGGTGGCTGAACATATATTTCTTTTGAATGCAAAGCTCTAGCTTTTTATTCCGAACAGCGATTGCTTCAGCAGTCTGTGTGATTCTCAGTCTGATGTAATTAGGTAGACTGCTGTTAACACGATATGTTACTGCGAAAGATTGCTCCATGTTGTCTGAATGTCCCATTTGAAGTACATAGTCTAAAATGGAGCCGTTAACTCATTTGACTACGCCTATGCTTAACCACACGGGGAGTGGCTCACGTGCGCGAATGTACAAATTCCTAGAACATCTGCCAGTATCACTTGCTCCACAGGAGCCATAGAATTGATAGATACAGAAATAGTTGGCTAATGCAAGCAATTTATCTTTCAACCCAAAAGTAATATGTCAGCTATTGAAATGAAATAATTCAAGTGTTGTTTGTATTGAGTAAAGTGAAATGAATTTGAATATATAATCTACTGGTTAAGTAATAAATTTTCATTTAACAGATGTAACATTACGTGAATTGAAAGACATTATACAAATAGATAACCAGTATTCTGGAAAATTTCTAATGATGAGATCTAATTAATGGAAATTAAAAGTGAATATCAGTTTCTGGGTTATTATCTATTTAATCAATGTTATAAATTTTCATTTCTAACTCATTAAACCTATCATCAATCATAAATATCTATGTATGTACTCCTTGGTACTGACTCGTATAACGTCCTCTCTGATATGATTAATAATGTTGGGTGATTGACAAAACAATAGAAAGGTATTATGTTGTCGATAGTTCTAAAACGTGGACATTTCCTGTTGTTTTTCAAGCACTTGTTTATTCTACCCTATTGATTATTGTACATAAGAAACACGTAGCAAGTATTGAATAAATGTATGTTAGACAATTGAAGTGCGAATGCAAAACGAGCACTAACTAACTAAGAAAGTTTGCACACACTCCAGTTCTAAGAGAATATTGGTTATACATTATTCATAAAAACAGGTCTAGTTCTTGACTCGCCTTCAAATTACCAGAACAAATACCCAGTTATCTATGGTGAAATGCTGTTCATAAATTATTTTGTTTTAATCAGACTATCTTGTATATGGTAATATGATCAATCAGAACTGTAAAGTCCTATTTCCTATGCTTAAAATTTTAATGAACAATACGTTATCAACCAGTAACTATTTTGATACTGTGATATTTCTTAGTATATCTTCATATATATGATTATGTTCGAAATGGAATTAAATAGAAATCAAGTCTTTTCATCTATTAGTGATTCGTCTTCAGTGTCGTTCGTCATTTTCCCAGACAACGTGACAGTACATTTTGATATTTATCTAAGAACTCTTACATAATTCATTTGTTAACATTTCATCAGATGTTTCCAACAGTAGCTTGATATTATTAGATCACAATATCCACCTTACGACGACTATGCATATGAAACATAACAGGTTTTAAGCTAAAAAGTATACTTCACTTTTCAAATTGAGGGATTTTAAAACTGATTCTGAAAGGTTTATGACTAGCACTCAATGATGAGCATAAACGAGTTCGAACTATGTATATATATATATAACTCAAAATGTGATAACATTTACACTCCAACAGTTTTAATTACCCCAAAGCAACTCATTTATTATACTAGTCAGAATATGTTTATCTCTTATAATGTATAAATAATTTCATCAATGAGTTCTCATAGTTTTTACAATTTTTCACTGCGTACTCTCTTAAATGTCAACAAAATGATATTATCATGTGAATGAAATCTGTGATATTCCAGGTAATTTGAACGACCTTGAGCGTCATGATATATATATATATATATATATATATATATATATACAATGACAAAATATACTTTTTCTTCTTAATATTCATCTATTTGAATAGGAGATAAAGGTTTGCTTATCAAAAAGCTATTGTGAAAATAATTTTTATTTGTATTCGTATTTCATCGATTTCTGTTGATGTAAATAAGCATATCAGTTCACTCTGTAACATTATGTCTTAACTGTCAGCACTGATAACCTAATTGGTAATCATTTAGCAATTATTGATCACTTAATATGTCTATGAATAGAACTCATTTCACAATCAAAGTAATTGACAATTTCAATATATTCTATTGTAATTGGTAATGTTACATAAGTTGACTTGTGAACTATATAAGAAAAATCAATAAAATCTAGGACAATGTAAAGCTTTCTCTCACAACTACATATATATATATATATATATATATATATATATATATATATATATATATAGTTGAATTCATGAGTTCATTGTAGAAGCCTAGACCGCTATAATTGACTTTGACTCAAATCCCTAAGTTATATATACGCTATGCATTAAATATCAATGGAATTTTTGAAAAAAGTTTTAACAAACTAACATTTATCACTTCTTAATTTGTAATGAAGTTGAAAATGCTTGTTATTAGTTAACTTATAAGAGATAGATCTATCATAGTGAATAAATTAAGATGAAGCTATTTCATTTAAAAACTGTAATTAATATTCCATAATCAACAATTTAGTCATTATGTCTTAACAGTCAGCACTGAGAACCTAGTTGGGTATTTACTCATGACACTTGTCCTGATTCCTTGTTGAATATATTTCAGAAGGCAAATCTACTGACTACTTGACCAAGAATATATTCTTTTTAGAAAATAAAAACTACAGTCTATTTACAAAGTATATGATTAATATTGAAAGTCACAAAAGTTACTCGAGACTTTTTAATATTGATCATCAAAGATAGATTTCAGTAGAACTAGTAGTAGACAATTTCTTTTTCCTTAAATCATCATTTAGTGTGGCCATTTATTTCGTCGTCATTCAGATTGGAAGATGTTGTTGAAGGGCTCTCCAGTTTAGTGTCCCGAGATCTCATTCTTATTTGATCGTATGAATGATCGTTGTTAAAATATATATGTAGTTTATCCCCCTGTATAATCATTGACTTAAATCGCGATGGTCAATAGCGGAATTAAATAAGTCAAATAACGAGAATGGACATTTGAACACACATTATTTTGTACAAAAAGCGAATATCATTGAGAGAAGCGAAACGACTCGCAGAGGAGATGGCGGGTAAGCCAACTCCATTTAGTCAAGCATTATTTATATTATATATATATATATATATATATATATATATATATATATATATATATATTTATAGTCACTGAAAAAATAAGTTACAGACATGTGATGAGTAATAGGATAAGAAATGTACACACACAATTACGCTCATTTAAAAACAGTCAAGATTGCTAAGCGGATAGTTACTAACGTAATCAGAATGTGACGAAAGTAGAATGAATAGATTGAGCTGTCTGAAAGCTAGAATGAGGCATATGGGCTTAACATCATAACTGACACTACAATTCTAATATCTCATTGACAAAGGTTCTGTATTATACTTCATTATATTTCTGTTGAAATCTTCCAAAATTTATCAGTTTTCAAAGTTGATGTTATTTACAATATTCACTTGAAACTAGAAATTACTTTAAACAAAAAGCACGTATTGTGCCAGATATGGAGTCAGTGGATTATTGTGTAATTGTTATACACCTTTGTGCCAGTTTAAATTTTTGTACATTTGTATATCTATTAATTAAATGTCTCAATGAATAGTGACTACTTTAAATAAAATAAGGATACAATGTTCACCTTTTATTGTTGTCATCCTAGCTAAAGAAACAGCTTATTTCATAGATTAAAAAGAAATTTTAAAAATGATCCACGTCTCTTCTATATGATTTGTAAATATGACAAATTTTACATCACACCTACTATCGTTCCTTGTAATTTTGTTGTTGTTGTTGTTGTTGGCTGCACTTATAAATAAAGTCAATTCTGTGAGATACATTGTTTGAAGCATTGATCATCAACAATAGTGACTCATGAATTCACCCTTAAAAATACTTTAAAAATGTCATTTTGTGGATTAAAATATATTGACAAGAGAACATCATCATCATCGTCTTCTTCAACAGGTCGTAGACGTTTTGTAAGAAGTTTTGGGAAATTTGTAAGTAATCTATGTTTAAACGTTCTAGGATAGTCGTTGTTTGGACTAACTGTTTGCTGATTCATTAATGTTTATAATTCGGTATTAAACTAATCTTTCTAAACTTTTTCTAATTCATAATCAAAATGCATTCACTTTGAAACCTGCCTTATACTTTTCATTTTCATTATAGACTTTTCATATGTTGAACTATTATAAAGTTATCTATTTTTTTCAAGAATAACATGAGTAGCTAATTGCTTCAATCAGTGTAAGTAATGAAGAACTCGATCCTGTGACTAAATATTTGATAGTAAAATGTTAGAACAACTAATCTCTTTATGATGAACAGTTTTGAGACAAACAATCAACGTATATTGTCTGTTTTATTTATGGCGCATCTATCAGGAATTAAAAATTTATTTATTGACATGTACACGATGCTGTTTGACAATCAATGATAATGGTATCTGAATATACATGCACCAAATAAAATACATAAATTCATACCTACCGATTACAAATAATAATACCACTCTTAGTATTTCCTATTATATACAGGTAAGGGGGACATAGAAAGACAACACTCTGCACTGATCGGAAATATCATTGAAATAAATACACTAGAAAGCTGATCAATCAGTTAATTTCGATTAGTCAGATAAAACAATAAACAGTCGTATGATATTTAACACCAAGAATATGAGTTTAAGTGCTAGGTGAGAAAACGAGTATCCTGACGATCGAGATCAGTTGTAATTATTTCTAATTCTTTATACTGTCATTTTAACTCCGCCTGTAGCTCTTCCAGAGTTACTGCCGGTCCCAAGCCCGGGTAAAGGAGGAGGGTTGGACATGGGGTTAGCGTCCCCATCCCGTAAAACCTAACTCGCTAAAAAAACGCTAACCAGAAAAAATAACTCAAACCATTTAAACTCCGCCCTGGGAGTTAGAGGTAATATGACGCTTCATGGTGAAAGCCGAGTTCCTTCGGAAGCCACGAGGCCGATGCCCCTCCTAACAACCAGAGCAACAATTTTTATAGGTACATGGAACGTCCTGACAATGTGGGAGACTGGGAAGACCAGTCAAATAGCAACGGAAATGAGGAGATACAACTTGGCAGTACTGGGAATCAGTGAAACCCATTGGACCCAAGCTGGACAACAAAGGCTAAATACGGGAGAGATGCTGCTATACTCGGGTCACGAAGAGGAAAATGCTCCACACACTCAGGGAGTTGCTCTAATGCTATCCAAAGTAGCACGAAATGCACTTGTAGGATGGGAATCTCACGGATCCAGAATCATCAAAGCATCATTCAAAACAAAGAAGGAGGGGATCACAATGAACATAATCCAATGTTATGCACCCACCAATGATAGCAACGACGACGTTAAGGATCAATTCTATGAGAGGCTGCAATCAATCATAGAGAAGTGCCCAAGAAAGGACCTCACCATTCTGATGGGAGATCTAAACTCCAAAGTCGGAATGGACAACACCGGATATGAAGACATCATGGGACTACATGGACTGGGAGAGAGAAACGAAAACGGGGAAAGATTTGCAAATCTGTGTGCATTCAATAAATTGGTCATAGGCGGTACAACATTTCCACACAAACGTATACACAAAGCTACGTGGATCTCACCGGACCACACCACAGAGAACCAGATAGATCACATGTGCATCAATAAAAAGTTCCGAAGGACAATGGAAGATGTGAAAACCAGGAGAGGAGCGGACATAGCTTCAGATCATCACCTAGTTGTGGCCAAATTGAAACTGAAGCTAAAGAAGAACTGGACAACTGGAAAAACAGTATCACAAAGGTTCAATACAGCCTTCCTTCGAGATACTGACAAACTCAATGAATTCAAGGTAGCTCTCAACAACAGGTTCCATGCCTTACATGATCTACTGAAGGAAGAAGAAACTACTATGGAGGATAGCTGGAAAGGTATCAAAGAAACATTAACTTCAACGTGTCAAGAGGTTCTGGGCCCCAAGAAGCATCATCACAAGGAATGGATCTCTACAGAAACACTGGACAGGATCAAAGAAAGAAAGAACAAGAAGACAGCAATTAACAACAGTTGAACAAGAGCAGAGAATGTCCAAGCACAAGCAGAGTACATAGAAGCAAACAAGAAAGTGAAGAAGAGCATTAGAGCTGATAAGCAAAAATACGTGGAAGAACTAGCAACGACGGCGGAAAAAGCTGCAAGAGAAGGAAATATGAGACAGCTTTACGATACGACGAAGAAGCTTGCAGGGAAATACAGTAAACCAGAGAGACCAGTCAAAGACAAAGAAGGAAGACCAATCACTGAGATTCAACAACAGCGCAACAGATGGGCAGAGTACTTCGAGGAACTCCTGAACAGGCCGGCTCCAATGAATCCACCGGACATCGAAGCAGCACACACAGATCTTCCTATAAATGTCAATCCACCAACGACCGAAGAAATCAGAATGGCCGTCAGACAAATCAAGACAGGGAAAGCAGAAGGACATGACAATATACCAGCTGAAGCGTTGAAGTCAGACATCGAAGTAACTACAAGCATGCTTCATCTTCTATTCAAGAAGATTTGGGAGGAGGAACAAGTGCCGATGGATTGGAAAGAAGGACAGCTCATCAAGATTCCAAAGAAAGGAGATCTGAGCAAGTGTGAAAACTACAGAGGCATTACACTACTGTCAATACCGGGTAAAGTCTTCAACAGAGTGTTACTGAACAGGTTGAAAGACGCAGTTGACGCTCAACTTCGAGATCAACTATCTGGATTCCGTAAGGACCGGTCGTGCACAGACCAGATTGCGACACTACGGATCATCGTCGAACAATCAATTGAGTGGAACTCGTCACTCTACATCAACTTCATTGATTATGAGAAGGCATTTGACAGTGTAGATAGGAGGACGTTATGGAAACTTCTTCGACACTACGGAGTTCCTGAGAAGATTGTCAACATTATCCGGAACTCATACGACGGACTACAGTGCAAAGTAGTGCATGGAGGACAGCTGACAGAGGCATTCCAAGTAAGGACCGGAGTAAGACAAGGCTGTCTACTCTCTCCCTTCCTGTTTCTTCTGGTGGTCGACTGGATTATGAAGACCTCGACATCTGAGAGAAACTACGGCATACGATGGACAGCTCAGAACCAATTAGACGACTTGGACTTGGGTTGGATGGAGAATGCTGGTGAGCGGCCTATGCTCCTTCACGAGGAGTAACAGGCGTAAGTAAGTAAGTAAGTAATACTGTCATTTTAAAACCTTGATCCGTAAGTCAAAACTTTTAACGGAATTTAAATTTTAGTACCTGAGGATGATTTAAAAAAGTGAAAAATTAATTGTCTTAGGACCTCTGCGATTGAATTTCATTTCTCCTCCTAACACTTTGTTTTGCATCTTACTTTCAATCTACTTTGAATAAATAAAGGTAAGAGAGTATATGTAGGGCGGTGGTTGGAGATACATGACAGAATGCCCAGTCTTGCGTTTCACGCTATTTTAAACTCATCAACAAGATATGTCTATAATCTTGAAAAAAACTATTTCTCTCCTTTGAAGTTGATCCCATTTCACTTGACTTCGAAGTCACGGGCGCTATCATCACTGCTCAGAGAATGATCAGTCATACAACGGAAATAAAATGTAGAACACAATCCTCTTGAAAAATCATGAAATCACAAACCTCATATACTACTCAGTTCGTGATCAAACTTACTCACTAGACTACAACACCAATAATCGAATTGCAGTGAAAAATCCAATGCTTCTGACAACAAATACAGAAACTGTTTATAAAATCGAACAACCATATACTAAATGAAAAATTTGTGGTGGATGCACATCTCGCTTCAATGAACATTGATTGATCGACCGAGAAATGCAATTTGTATGGAAATACAAGAACAACGAAGTGTGGGCCATTTTCAGATAATTGATGGTCATTTTGCAAATTGATCATTCACTATATGGTTGTTCGATTTGATAAACAGGTTCTGTAATTTGTTGTCAGAAGCATTGGATTGTTCACTACAATTTGACTATTGGTGTTGCAGTCTAGTGAGTAGGTTTGATCACGAACTGAGTAGTATATGAGGTGTGTGTGATGTGTATCTGTTGAGATGAGTAATGATGAGTGTGGTTGTGAGAGGATTTACTGAGATGAATGGAATGATCACAATTAAGCATTGATTCGTGCATTTCTCGGTCGATCAATCAACGTTCAGTGTACCACGAAGTGCATCCACCACAAACGGCATCTCACATGAAACAGAGGAGACTGCAGTCAACTGACAGTGATGAGTGAGCTGTGTGCATTCTAGTGAGTGAAACATGACTGCAGTTGGATGGATGTAAGTGATTTGTGCTGTGAGCTACTTATATTGACATAAGTAGTATATGACGTTAGTGAGGAGCAGAATGTGTGGCAGCAGAGAGACAAGAGGATCGAACAGTGAGGAGTGGAATGAGAATGCAATTTGTATGGAAATACAAGAACAACGAAGTGTGGGCCATTTTCAGATAATTGATGGTCATTTTGCAAATTGATCATTCACTATATGGTTGTTCGATTTTATAAACAGGTTCTGTAATTTGTTGTCAGATGCGTTGGACTGCTCAATACAATTTGACTATTGGTGTTGCAGTCTAGTGAGTAGGTTTGATCACGAACTGAGTAGTATATGAGGTGTGTGATGTGTATCTGTTGAGATGAGTAATGATGAGTGTGGTTGTGAGAGGATTTACTGAGATGAATGGAATGATCACAATTAAGCATTGATTCGTGCATTTCTCGGTCGATCAATCAACGTTCAGTGTACCACGAAGTGCATCCACCACAAACGGCATCTCACATGAAACAGAGGAGACTGCAGTCAACTGACAGTGATGAGTGAGCTGTGTGCATTCTAGTGAGTGAAACATGACTGCAGTTGGAAGGATGTAAGTGATTTGTGCTGTGAGCTACTTATATTGACATAAGTAGTATATGACGTTAGTGAGGAGCAGAATGTGTGGCAGCAGAGAGACAAGAGGATCGAACAGTGAGGAGTGGAATGAGAAT